TACCAATATGGGCCAGTGAAGCAACATCCTCCACAACTAGACTGAAGAACAAAAGGATAGCAACTTGTCTGTTCCCCTTCCCCTGATTCCCCAATGCTGTTCCCCTCCCCCAATTCCCCAATAAAATCTTAAAAAAAAAGAAAAAAGGTTCTTGTTTTATAGTTGGCCTAACTATTTTCATGTTCATGTTCGTTATAAATAAACTAAGTTACAAGGCAGATGTTGTTACTATCCCCATTTTCCAGAGGAGATGGATGAGGCTCAGAGCCACTAGGCAGGGCTTCTTAAAATGTAATATGCATATGAATCACTGGGGATCTTATTAAAACAGGGATTCCGATTCAGGTGATCTAGGGTGGGGCCAAGAGTCCGGCTTCCAATAGGTGATATCAATGCTGCTGGCCCAAGGACCTGACTTGAGTCAGGAGGTTCCAGGGAGCTTAACCAAGTCACACATATCCCAAGTGACTGAAGGAAACCGGGTCTGTCTGACCCCAAAGCCTGTGCTCCGTGTCTGCTGTTCCCACCTGGCATCTTGCAATCCATCCACTTACTTTGCAGGTATCAGAGAGAGGAGGCTTCAGTTGGAGAGAGAAGAAACTTTGTGCAGGGAAGGGGGCTGCTCACACCAGGTCCCCCCCATTCTCCATGCTTAATGAGGAAGAGACGGATGGAGGGGGCTTTTCTCAGGGGTAGTGAAGCATCACAGCCAGGCAGCTGTCAGTGGTTCTGTTGGAAAAAACTAATTTTTTAATTAAAAACGTCTTTTTCTCCCCCTCTTCTTTCCCCTTTGCTTTAATGTCTCAGTCTGGAGTAATTATGAGTTGCTCTGGAGAGACTGAACCTTAGAAAAATTGTTTGTGTGACTGGTGAGGAATTTATCTGATTAACTTTGGCTCAACCTTTGAAAGAAAGAAAAAGGGAGGAGGGAAAGCAGCAGCTCTCCATTCTCCTCGGGCACAAAACTTAATCACCGTGCCTGGGAGGCCAGGTGGGTGCTGGGCTGGCTCCTCTGGGCCAGCCTGGGGGCAAGTGAGCTGGGAAGACCTGAGCTCATGCCCACTCCTGGCATTCCCTTCCCAGGGCACCCACCTGTCCCCCAGGTTTTTTTCCAGTGGTGGAGATATGTCATTCTGCCTGACCCAACATGGGAGATGGTGTCTTAGGCTGGGTTCTTGAGAAGCAGGCTGGAAAAGGAGATTCAAGTATTCAACTCTGTAATGAAACGAGTACTTTCAAGTGATGCCTACAAGGGAGTGAAAGCCACAGAATAGGATAGGAGGGATGTAGGAAAGGATGTGGGGTCAGCGGAAGTCTGGTCTCAGCCATCCCAGGGAGCTCTGGAGCTAGAACAACACTAGGGTTGTCAAGGAGGTAGAGAGCAGGCTTTTGTTCCTGGGTGTGTCAGCCACTGGTTGTGAGTTGTAACCCTGCAGGCGCTAATAAAGTAGGTCTCCACCTGCTGAGGGCAACTTCCAGAGAAGGGGGGCAGAGCACTGGTCTGGTACAAGGATCCAGGTGAGGCCCCAACAGCACCTACTACAGATGGACTGGAGGGGGTCTGGTGGGGTTGGAGAGAAATGAATGGATTCATGCCAATTTTGGAGGTAGAGTTGAGAGGACTTAGTGGTTAAATAAACGGGTGGTAGAGGGTGAGGCGACGAGGGGGCTTCCAAGCTACTGGCTTGGGTGACTAGGTGGCTGGGAGTACCAGGCTCTAAGATGGGCACCCAGGAGAAGGGTAAACCTGGTGAGGCTGAGGGTGATTTGATATCTGGACATGGTGGATGTTTAAGTGGGAGTGCTGAGCAGGCAGCTGGGTGCACCAGGTTGAAGCAGAGATGTGCATGCCATCTGTGTGGAGATGAGAGAGAATGGGTGGACTGATGTGGGTGGGCAGTGGGGAGAGAAGAGGCAAAGCAGAGCCCTGGGGATCCCCTATGATTGGGGCCAGCAGATAACAGGGAGCCCCAGGGCAGTTTGAGACAGTGCAGCCAAAATGACAGGAGGTGGTCCCTGGTGCCGCCTCCCGTGCTCTGTCCACCTCATTCCCTGTCCCCTCCGTGGGCGCATCTTTTTGGAAGGAAGCAGTCTTGAGGAGCCCTGGTAGACGGTGTCCCCTTGAGGGTGGGAACTGTGCCTGTCTTGATTAGCACTGTGGTCCCAGCACCTATCATGCTCCGTGGCACAGAGCAGGACTCGATAAGTTCCTGCTGAAAAATATACTAGCTAACACTCATCTGGCACCTACCACGCCCCAGGCACTGTATAAGGACTCATTTACCTCTGAGGAAGGTGCTATTATTACTCCTACTGTACCGATGAAGACTCAGAGGCACAGAGAAGTTACCCCATGACTCCCCAGGGGCCACGCTCTTAGCTTCTCTGAGAGTGAGTGAGACCGGAGGCCAGATGTTTGGGTCTAGGGCGTATGACTTTCCTGCAGCCCCTGTTCACGCAGTCACATGCACGTGCAGCCACATTTGCATGCAGCACAAGGAAGACAGTTCCCTCCACTGCAGGGAAGGACAGCCCACAGCCTTAGGGAGCAGACTGTTATTGGGCAGCCCTCTCGTCACATCGGACTTGCCAAGGCTATTTCAGATATATCACTGCTGCCTTTAGAGTCCCCGAGGACAGAGGGGAGCTGAGGCTGGGCTTGTAGGGCACAAGTGGAAGGCTCTGGTCAGACAAGTGACCTTCCAGTCCCAGCTCCACTGTGAAAGTGTGGTGTGGGCAAGTCCCTGAGCCTCTCTGAGCCTCGGTTTCCTCATATGTGAAATGAAACTAATTACACTTTCCCAAGATCTTTGTGAGAATTTGAAATGCTACATGGTGTCTGGTATACGGGGTACTCCTATCATGGCCACTATCATATGGAGCAGCCTCATGTCCCCGTTTATTACATTAGCACCTCTTTGCCAATCATTGGAAAATATAACTATTGCCTTGCAGTAAATGAGAATCTTGTGACCAACAACTTCCTGGCTGCCATTAGGGAGCTGCAGACATGCCTGGACTTGTGCAGCTAGATGGCCACTGTCCACTGAGGGGGAAGGCTGGGAGCAAGACTGGGAAGAGAGGCTTGGAGCTGGGAGTGTCCAGACTCCCCTGGGCAGGGGCATCGGAGCTAGCAGTCTTTAGTCAGCCCCCACCCACGACCACCATGAGGGGAACTGCCAAGGTGAGACTAAGGACCACTGCGGGGGCCATCAGCTCTGCTGCCCTCATCGTCCACAGTCAGCACACTGCCCAGCGCCAGGGGCGCCACTCACACTGTACTCTATGGGGTTGGGCTCCAGGGGGTGCGGCTGATATAGAAAATGACACAAATGATGCCCCCTGGAGGTGTGCAGTGGAAACTTGTGAGCTCCTCAGGGTGCCCGTCTCACAGCTCCACAGCTGCTGGGGGGCCCTGGGGCTGTGGACGGTCCCTCCCTGCTCCTAGCCCCATCTGGTGCTACTTCTCCTGCTACTGGCACCCAGGCCTCTGAGGAATAGCCCTGAGCACACCATGTCTGAATCCCTGATGTCATACATCTTCTTCCCCCTCCAGTCTGGAAGCTCTCAGGGGCGTGGCTGGGGCCTCCGCCCTCCCTCCCTCTCCTGCAGCACAGGGGTGGCACATGGAGGCCAACTGTGAGATTAAAATACCAATGTCTTTCATTTCTCTACTGAAGAGGCATTCACTTCTCAGCCTCTAGCTGAGCCCTGGGTCCTGCTGGGGAGTGGAGACGTGAGGATGCAGCAGACTGACCCTGCTCTTGAGGGTTCATAGCCTTGTTGGGGGACAGACATGTAAACAGACAGCAAGAGTCCAGTGTGAGCAGAGCTATGATACATGGCATGCAGGCAGCCACCCGAGCACAATGATGGACAGAGAGGGCACCCAGGTTTCCTAGACGAAGTGACCCTTGAGTTGAAAAGCGGGGTGGGGCTTGTGTGGGGCAGAGGAAAGAGTGCTGGACAGACTGGGAGTCAGAAGACCTGGACCCAGTCTCAGGTCTATCTCTAAGTACCTGTGTGACCCAGGACAAATCCCCTGCCCCCCCACTGCCTCTGGGCCTCAATTTCGTTATCTATGTAATGGGAACTGAGCGACATCACCCACAGAGCCGCTCTGGTTTGGAAGCTCTTGGCCTTCCTTCCAGGAACTTGAATGGGAACACTCTGGGGCATGTTTATAGGTTCGTTATGGCTAATCCAGAACTACCCTCTGAGTGTCAGAAATGCTTGTTTATTGTAAGTGTTTCTGTCTCCAAGACGAGGCTGAGTTTGGGCTCACCTTTCTGGGAATGCCAAGGTTGGGTCTGCTGGAGGTATGGCTGCAACTGGACACTTTCACTGGGTGTGCTCTGCTCTGGCCTGCCTGGGCCGGAGGGGAAAATCTGAGCTGCAGGGAGGGACTGTCCTCCTTCTAGCCTCCAGTGGATCTCGAAGGACAGCCAAGCATCTCCTTTGCACAACTGCTTCTTCAAGGTCACTGACTTTTCCCTTTTATAAGGGAGCCAATTAGCACCAGCCAATCATCTCATGCCTTCCCTCCTGTGAGCTGGAACTGACCAATTATACTTGGTATGGTCTCTCCATTTTTAGGTGTTGAAGGCTACCTCCTTACTGTGGAGGGCTTGTGTTTTAAAAGTCTAATCCTGGGTCTGGAGCTGATGCAGGCAGTTGGGTACTCCAGGAAGATGGATTTAAGATTTCTTGAGTGCAGTGTCCGGTGGGTTCTGCCCACCATCAGGGCTGTTGGAACTCAGGGGAAGGAGAGAGCACCTGGCCCAGGGCAGTCCTGGAGGACTTCCAAGAGGGGGTGTGGAAGAAGGGGTTTGAGGCCCAGCCGTGGCGCCCTTTTCTCCAGACAATGAATCCTCTTCAGACCCCTTCCAGCAGCCTCAGCACTCTCATCCTGGCAGCGCTGGTACACCTCCCTGCCCCTCTGCCAGCCCTGGCACTGTCTGGGTCCCTGGGCTGCACCCTGCTCTAGGACCCTTCTCCTCAGCTCACACACCCAGGGCTCATGTGGGATGTTGGACATCTGTATTACCCCTAGGCCTGAGTCATGGTCCAGATACCCTTCCCTGGCTCCAGGGGCTAGGGATGGAGGGGACCCAAGAAATGCCATGGGAGGAGTCAGAGAGAAGGGGAGAGTGTCCTAGGTGGGGAGCACTGTGTGAGTGAGTAAAGGCTTGAAGATGTGTGAAGCGTATGCATGTGTATCTGCCTGTATACATACATGTGTGCACAGATTGGTGCTTCCATGCACATGCCTGGGCATACATGTGCATGTGTGTAAAACGCTGAAAAGGACATCAGCGCCTTGTTTTCTTGGACTTGCGGGTTTTCTTACCTCTCGTAGTCTCCCCATAAGAGGACTGGTGACTTGGGTTCTGGGCTTTAGCTCCCTGTGGGCCCAGGCCCCTGACCCTTGTTCCCAGCCAGCACCCCCCCATCCAATGTAGCAACTTCTTGATGAAAAATATCGATGAGTCTAGCACACAGCAGAGCCAGCATCACCTCCGAATGGAAAAATTCCAATCCAATCCATCATTCATTCCCACCACCAGGCCACTGGCAGCCCACCTGCCATCTAGTTTTACCTCTTCTAGGCCCGGAGGCCCAGCTCTCACACAGAGCATCAATCAAAAGGGCCCACTGAGGATGGAAGGTGAATAAAATCAGCGCCCCTCTGCCCCAGGCTCCTGGGTCTTGCTCCTTGGAGAGGCCTG